ATAGGTCTGGGCTCGGAACGAGACGAAATTTTAGAACCTCGCATTAGCTTAGCCAAGCGCAGTTCGTAAGAAGCGCATTAAGTGGTCATGCGAATGTGGAATAAAAGTCAGACAAGGTAACTCATTGAGTGAAAACTAATCAAAAACTTTTGGTTAACGACAAGAGAAGAGCGTTTCTTGCCGAATTCAAATCGCAAGATCGCATGGAAACCACACCATCGGACCAGAGTATCCTAAGGTAAGTCCAACTCATCCAACATTTTCCGTGCTTTGTTCTCGTTATGACCTAAAGTGCATTACGTTTAGACATCATCTGTTTTTGATGAAATGCTGACTCATACCGCTTCTCTTTTGGCGATTTCTCGTCGAGGGCGTTGAAATGGATCAGCAACTATTCGCAAAATCCTGCATCTTGGCTTCGTTCTGAAAACGTGATTTCGACTTACACCTATGTGAATAAAGTTTTTATTTCAAAATCTGCTTTCACGGGCGTTGTAAATATCAATTTCACTAAAGTGTTGCTAATTTCACATGGAAACCGTTTTTGTCGTAATACTGGGAAGCCGAGAACAAAACCTAAGCCATCTGTTACGGTAGCCAACGGTCTCAACTTTATGTAACGGCTTACCACCAATAGGGTTAAGTGATGTTGCTGCAAAACTTTATTGCGACCAATACATTGTTGTCATCGTCTTTGTAAGAGCGAATATTAGTTAAAGACAAGTATTCCTGCGTAAAGTAACCTCGCGTAGTCGCAAGGTTAACAGAGTGAAGTGAACAGAGTGTGTACATTTCTTTAACTATGGCAATGTTAGGGTAAGAAAACTGGTTCAGGAAAGGCAAAGCAAGGGCCTCAGGGGCAGATTGGGAAAAATGTGAGCTTCCAGGAAGGACAATTGCAGATTCGGATCTAGCATGGGGTCTGAGCTTATGCTTTGCAGATATCTTAGCATCATTGTAGTTGGCGTTCTTTTTTGTTTTCTTTTGTTTACTATTGTTGTCGACATTCTATTTGTCAGCACCACAAAGACGACATGGCGCAACCTTAAGGAATTCGTCAACTCCTTACAAATATTTTTTCTGCAGAAAATTTTTTTACGTGATTCGTCATCACATCTACTATGCGGATCCCAGCACTTCCTGCATTTGCTTTACATCAATCATAGTTATACCGGTCATCAATACCTTGGAAATCTTGCGTGACTCAGTTTTTCCGTAGCATTTCTTCACCAATTCTCGTTCTACACAAAGCGTAGTAATATTTCGAAACCGACTTTCCTTGAACCTCGGTGTGACTAATCAATATGTATTCTTTCTTGATAAGCTTGCACGAGGTTGATAAATATATTTATTTTCGGCTAACGTTTCGACGTCTTCGTCATCCTCAGAGCCGATGATCCGAGTCGATGGCCCATGCTTGTCGTTCGTCTCGACGTTGCAGCTTCGCCTTCGTGTCGAACCAGGTCTTCCTCAGTGAGCCATCTTCTTGAATAAGGCATCCTTACTCAGTGATGCCCTTTTATACACGATGCTGATGGTATATGTATAATGATAATGTCTGGTGGTAACAACTTGTATTTCTTCCGGACATCATTGCGCACATCGTGCAGAAGTCGGTGTTTTTATCAGCTAGCACAAAGCGTAGTAATATTTCGAAACCGACTTTCCTTGAACCTCGGTGTGACTAATCAATATGTATTCTTTTTTGATAAGCTTGCACGAGGTTGATAAATATATTTAGGAAGACCTGGCTCGACACGAAGGCGAAGCTGCAACGTCGAGATGAACGACAAGCATGGACCATCGACTCGGATCATCGGCTCTGAGGAAGACGAAGACGTCGAAACGTTAGTCGAAAATAAATATATTTATCAACCTCGTGCAAGCTTATCAAGAAAGAATACATCTCGTTCTACAGTTTCCTCGCGAACCTCTTCTATCTATTCTATTCAGTTACATGATTGCAAGGAAAAGAAACGAATGACAAATGTGCTGGGGTCTGCACAACTCGCTAAGATGGATCCTCCGTCTAAATGTAGTCCCGCGCAAGTTTTGTATAGGCCAAATATGCACCCAGTCACCTGAACGGTGCAACGAATGGAGCCCGTGGTATGGCTCATTCCTAACGGAATAATTAATGTCGAGAGCTTCATCTCTTTTCATGGTTGCAGTCAATTGCACCAATTCGAACCCAGTCAACCAACGAGTAACTCAAGTCGGCACCAGGCTGCTAGTGGTACCTGTCTAACATCTCTGCTGTCCACTGGTCCCAATTTTTATTTCTATTGCTTTTGGCGAAAACGTCTAATTGGAAGATCGCAAGATCTGGTGTAGGGGACTGGATGTGCTCACGTATAGGTGTGTTTACAATGGGAATACTAAAACACCAACAAAAACCCAGGAAAATAGTTCCTTTAATCCAACGTTGAATGTTGTGTAATCATGTCTATGATCCATGGATTTTTCATCACCTTTTCACTTTTTTTTTCTGCTTTTATGTTTCAAAGACGGCATACGGTCCGTCGTAATGTTCCACGGCAAATAGTACAAGTCACTGTATGCTATGTTAAATTCCATCTATATGGTTGCTTTGCATTTTCTCATTTATTCTTCAGTGTTTCTATGTCATATGAAAACTCCTTACTTGAATTTTCAATCAAATTGACGAAAAAACTTATCAGGTGATATTTTTTACAACTTTCGTTACATTAATTACACTACTAAATTTACGTTTTCCGCTATTGAGATCCAATTCGAATCGCTGTAGAATTGCAGAAGACGGAGCCATCGAAGCGCCCCACCCCAGCCCCATATCCACCACCAGTGGACAAGAAACGTAGCATCGCGATTAAACGGCAGCAGATCACTATGCAAGCGAAATCAGTAGGAGGCAAAAATTGTAAAAAAATTGCATAACTGGTTGCTCGTAAGCCCCTAGCAGGACCGATTATTCCCACGCTTCTTTCGGTTTTTGTACGATCCTCCAAGCCGTTCACTATGTTCACTGAACGCCATATGTAAATAAAACAGTGTAGGTTCTGTAATAAGAAGACCACCGATCCCGACTAGTTCTGCATTATACTATACACACTTAGTGGCTGACTTTTCTTCTGGTCTTCATATGAACACTATGCTGTAACTCGTATGTAATGCTGAGATATTTGCAAAACTCCAGACCGTAGGTGTATGCGGTGGGGAACGAACACGCGTTGTTGTCCTTACCGGGAAGCAGCGCACTTCACCACCACCCCATCCAGGTCCTTCGCTTTGCCTGTCTCTCAGCTAGTTCTATCGATCTCTTTCCAACAGCAATCACCCGTCAACGGGATTGATCTGGGGAAATGGTGTGGTGGTGAAGGTGGTGAAGTGGGGAGGGGGGGCAAATCGGCAACGAACCCAGTCAACTTTCCCCCTTATTCTCCGGTAAGGACAACAGCGCGTGTTCGTTCCCCACCGCATACACCTGCGGTCCGGAGTTTTGCAAGTATCTCAGCATTACATACGAGTTATATTTCGCAACATACCCTGACATTAAAAACAAAAAGGCAGTAAATAAAAGGGTTAAAACTATGCTGTAACTGCCACGACCGACTTTCTATTAACCTCGGCATTGATCAAGTGATTTTTTTTGTATTTTTGTTGAGCAAGGGCGAGGTGTTATTATTCTTTGTTCACGATTAAGCTGACGTTTCGGCGGATTTCGCCTTCCTCAGAGCCTGGAAAGGTCAAGTTGATAGCAATCTACTCGGCCAGACGCCTCCATAACCAAACAAAGAAACCCCAAATCAAGATTTCAATCACTTTGAACACAGCTTTGCATACTCACCGCTTCCTATGAGGTTTCCACTAAGTATGTCACGTAGAGACCAACCGCACAGAAATCACATGGAGAAATCACATAATGAACCAAGATATTTTTACTACTTGGCTTTCGGTACCACTTTGTAATGTAGCCATTTTCTGATAGGTGAATTTGTACGTTCAAAAATGGAAGCCATTTTTCTTTCGGCTTTTCTCAGGTGAACTTGATATACTCTAACTGTGCGTTTAACAATTCGAAGCATTTGTCCAATTCCTCTTGTGTTGAGCAAAGGTCAAAGCAGTCGTCTACATACCTACAGTAGAGTAGCGACCCGAGATCAGTCACCGGTGCTTCCAACTTAGACATAAATGCAATGGCAAGGCTTGGAGCCAGTCGTTGCCCCATTGCCAACCCTCTTTTTTGAGCGTAGTACTTTCCAGACCATCTGAAAATTGAGCAGCCCAAGCATTCTTTTAAGAGTGCCATCAGGTGCTCTATTCTGAAGCCATACGTGTTTATTTCTCCTTCGTGTTGTGTAAGGAGTTCGAATATGGCTTGCATTGCAGAGTCATTCGACACGTTTGTATAAAGGGCGGTAACGTCGAAGGACTCCATCACGCACGCGCTGTTGGGCTGCGCAGTACGTAGACGATCCAGAAACATCTGGGTATTCGTAAGATGGGCTGGAATGTGTTTCAACAACTGGTTAAATATTAGGGTTAAAAACTATGTTATCCTGTCCGTTGGCCCGTCTACGCAGCTAATGATAGGTCTAACCTTAAATAGTGATGGATCGTTAGACGCAAGATCATCGCTGGATACTAACTTATGAGTTTTTATAAGTAAGTACAAGACGGGGCATGTTGGTAAGGCAACTTTAAGTTGAGAGATAACTGATGGTTTCAAACCAGCAGCCCTTGCCATTTTGGCCCATTCGTGGTTTAGTTTTCGGTATTTACTTTTGAATTCCTCCTCAGATGATGGGCGATAAAGCGAAGCATCCTCAAGATGCTTTTTCGTTATCTCCACATCTAACTGATGNATTCGACACGTTTGTATAAAGGGCGGTAACGTCGAAGGACTCCATCACGCACGCGCTGTTGGGCTGCGCAGTACGTAGACGATCCAGAAACATCTGGGTATTCGTAAGATGGGCTGGAATGTGTTTCAACAACTGGTTAAATATTAGGGTTAAAAACTATGTTATCCTGTCCGTTGGCCCGTCTACGCAGCTAATGATAGGTCTAACCTTAAATAGTGATGGATCGTTAGACGCAAGATCATCGCTGGATACTAACTTATGAGTTTTTATAAGTAAGTACAAGACGGGGCATGTTGGTAAGGCAACTTTAAGTTGAGAGATAACTGATGGTTTCAAACCAGCAGCCCTTGCCATTTTGGCCCATTCGTGGTTTAGTTTTCGGTATTTACTTTTGAATTCCTCCTCAGATGATGGGCGATAAAGCGAAGCATCCTCAAGATGCTTTTTCGTTATCTCCACATCTAACTGATGAAAAATTACGACAAATTCTCCACCCTTATTACTTACGGAAAGTCTTATGGTTTTCAACCTTATCAGCTCTCGTACCTCTTGCATACCACGTCTTTGCACTGGAGTGAGGTTTGAGCTGTATCTTTTCGCGCGATAGTGATTAAGGACTTTGAGAGTTTCATCCGCAAACATCCGAAATTTAACATCAACTTCATAATTGGGCTCTTGTTGTCTAAAGAACGTTGGGGGAAATGGTGTCATTGGTAGGGCCCCCACTTGATGTTGTTCGCACCTATTTAGCGCTTCATCTCTAGCTTTTTTGCGGAGTCTATCCTGATGTTCATGTAAACCACATGCGGCCCTACGCAAGGTTATCTTAGAAATGGGTTCAGATGGTGAGAAACTCGGCCCCAATTCTAAAAAAAACAAAAAAAAAACGTCAAAACGTCAGCTTAATCGTGAACAAAGAATAATAACACCTCCCGTTTGCTCAACAAAAATACGAAGAAAATCACTAAGCTGTAAGTTCGTTGAAGTCCTAAAAAATCCTCTCTTCTTTACTCACACTTTTTGGAAAACCAAGACTTATTCAGAAAAACGTTTGGCAAAGGATACTGCCTTTGGTTACACGAACGGCAACAGAAGTACTTCGTCGTTCTAGTGGAGTTGTGGTCCATTTGATTTTTTATGGAAAACAAATCCATTCTTACTTCGAAGAGCGTTAGCAACTCCCTATAAACGATGAAAGCCAGGACGAGAAGCAAGTTCCACACTGTACAGACGTATGTTACCCTTTTTACATTCAAAGTCGCCTCTGTATCACACATTCCACAGAAACGCCACAGGTTGCTAATAAAATATTTGTTTTCCACTGGTTAATATGTGGCTGGATTTCGTCCTCTCCAGAATCTGAGAAGGTCAAATTGATGAATTAAGAGAAAAATCGGTCACGGAAGTTCCACCACTCCTAAAAAAGTACACAATGTTTGTAGAAGAAAAAGAAAAGCATTCAAAATAGAAGAAAACGAATTTTGACACCAAGTGACATGCAAAATAGGCTTCGATGTAACAAATGTGACCGTCTACTTAAAGGAGTGGCCCACTTTTTAAATTCTCGTTTTCTCAAAATATCACATTTGTTTCAAACGACAGCAGATCCCGCTGCTCCCAAGCGGAGCATTCAGATTTTCCCATCTCATCGAATGAATTTGATGAACGTTGAACGTAAATGTCCAACTAGGCTGGCAGAAACTCCGCATGGCACATTAGACATCTCAGGCACTGTATTTTTTTCCATTAGTCATTTAGTATAAGGCACACATATAGATATAGATATATATATATATATAGATACATATATATATAGATACACATATAGACAAGAATAAATCGGCTCACCTCTGCTACATCTAGGAGTGTTCCATCTCCGATGTATCGCACGGCGGTAATGAGGCACTGGTTGCGGAACATCCGGCCTCTCGTTGTTTCAGCAGCTGATTCAAACGAACTCCGATTTCTTTCACCTTATTCACCGTCTCAGATATCGTCTTTGTTACCCGATATGCTGGAATTCCTTTCAATTCAAAAGGTTGTGCGAAAGAACTAAAAAACAATAGCATCGAATAAGGTTGAGGGGCTCGGAAAAATATATCACTGAGGAGAGTATACAGCTTCATGCAGCTTTCCTGAAGTGTTGACTATCTGCTTCTCGTCGTCATCATTGTTTGATGAAGGAAGTGAATATTTCGTATGGAACTTACCTCCGACGTTGTTTTTAGGTAGCCAAAAGAAAGCGAAAATACTGGATCTGGACTGTAATCCTGAAAAGGTCAACCTGACTGACAAAAGTGACACTCACCATGGAGTCGCCGCGTGCGAACCCAGAGGTCGAATGTGTAAATGACAATCTGCCGGTGGTCCGTGTGTAAGGCGACCTAGGCAACACCATCTCCAAAACGCTTCACAACCTTTTTATGGCCACAATCAAATCCAAACACGTAGTGATAAACGACGCAAGATAAGAAATGAAGCGATTAGAATGGATGTTGTCACTTATACTAAATTGTTAAATGTTGATTTATAATGATATCTTGAAAACCAACGTTCACTAGTGGTTTTAATGGAGTGGCTGGTTTCGGCAACCAATTGCGTTTCGAGCAAATGATTCCAAGATGTTTCGCAGCGAATAAGGTTACTTAGCCAAATTTTCTACACATAAAACGTAACCGAACTGCAGCCAAATTTTCTACACATAAAACGTAACCGAACTGCCGTCATCTTTGCATGCACATAGGACGTGCTAAGTGACCTTAGTTGTTAAACTACTAAGTGAAGTGATAACCTATTTGTTTTCTGATACCACTACAGTCGTCAGTCTCACCGTCACATTATTCCTCAGCAAGCAATTCTGGATGTTATCACCCGAGAAAAAAAGTGGACGAAAGTGGCTTAAGAACTTGGTGTACTTAGTTTGTTATTGAAATTTCTCAAGAGTTAACAAGGTTTCATTAGTGCCAACTTATTCACGGAAACGGATATATATAGCCACTGTCCGAACACGGGAGTCAAATGTATTTGTCATGTTAGTGGGAAAATTTCTAAGCTCTGAAGATAGAGATATCCTTAAACGTTAGTCTTCGTGAAGAAAACATTATGTGTTAATCAATTAATCTTAATTCATAAAGTACACGAGTGACTTATTGGTCAACTCCGATTTAAACAGTCTTGGTGGTAGCCGTTATCTCATTTAAATAATAAACCGTCAAGAAAGATCGTTGAGTTAAAAAGGTAAGTGCGATATTAGGTCCCTTGCTGGATTTTACTTTTGAAGGACATACGGATTCTGCTCAGTTGTGGGCCTCTGGCCGGAAATTAGTTTTCAACTGCTCTTGAACTTAATATTTACGGAGAAGGATTTTATGCATAATGTCATCCTTACACATAACCTATTTCCTTCTTCAACGATGATATGAACAAAATTACAAAACAAAGAAAACAGAAATCGGATCTGATATAAAAATATTGCGCGATCTTCTGCTTATGAGGATATGAGTGATTCCTGAGTGAGTCGCTCAATCAGGCCTTTCAATGCCCAGTTTGTTCCTTGCCAACACAAAAAACCGGTGGGAGAAACACGTCACGGACAATAAAGTAACAGGGCTAATCCCTATTCTTATTAGGCTTCAAAACTCCTTATCTTGTATTCACGTTAGAAGCATCAGTGCTTTACGTCGCTCTCGTTCGGTAGGCTGACAAATATCACCGCTTTTTTAGGAGCTACTGTCGTTCTCGAAGAATCTTTGTAAAATGGCAGCAAACAACATTCCAATCCATAAGGCTTGAAGTCCAGTTGAAGCTACCTTCGCACACTGGTGGCTCGACGTACTTCATCGTATGCAAACAAATGACGCCGATGATTTGACACACTACCCTGAAAGCGAAACGCAGCAATTGTGCGGCGCATTGGTTAGGAACGTTCTGCAACATAATCGGGGTGGTTGATTTGACCCTACGCCTAGGCAACCTTACCAGACCTTCCATCACCCATGAATTGGCAAAATGGTATCGGAATTGCCTGCGAAGATGGCAGCGCTAACTTGAAACATCAGCAGATACACTGCAAGTATATCACAAGTACGACTCAACCCCTCCAACGATGTTCGGTGAAGTCGAATGCATGGCGCACCTCTAAGGAATTGGTCAACGCCTTACAAATATTTTTTCTGCAGAAAATAATTTTAAGTGATTCGTGAACACATCTACTGTGCGGATCCCAGCACTTCTTGCATTTGCTTCACATCAATCATAGTTATACCGATCATCTCTCCCTTGGAAATCTGGCGTGACTCAGTTTTTCGTAGCATTTCTTCACCAATTCTCGTCCTACAGTTCTCCCGTGATCCTCTTCTGTCTGGCTGTTATATAGACGATTTTGTAGGTCTTCCGCTAGAATTTCCGGCTCTTCGGCATTTGTATAATAATTCCGTTAGTGGACAACACGTAAAAAAATTAGCGGATCTCTCGAGAAGCTGCTGGTTGTGTGATTCCTATATATATTATCGCCTTCCTACATGTGTTACTGAAGCGTTTAACGTAGCAATTCTTATATCAATGTGTTCTTTCAGGCTCTGAAGAAGGCGATGCTGCTGAAACATCTGCTTCTATTCTATTCTGTGTGTTTCTGTACGGATGTAAATATATGTTCTATAACAACCTCTTGATTTCTGAAAAAGAAAACGACGTATTTATAATTTCTTTCCTTGCACCAGATAAATTCGTCCTGTTCATTGTTAGACTCTATTTGATGCACGTGGTTAATAGTTCTACCCTGCGTCCAGAGAAAAACAAACCTCATTGGTCAGAGGTCGTCAACTTAGTACTATACTTGTGTGAGAAGATAAAAACCTTGACTTGATACATCCATAGTCCACCGACCCTGCCGAAGCAAGCACCGACCTTTAATGTTCTCATTTTCGAGATCCGTGAGAACATATATCGAGAGCGAAGCATAGATGGGACGATCATATGATGAGAGAACAGACGACAGTTGAACGGAGGGAATTGTAAAGTGGACTCCACGAGGACGTGGCGGTCCTCTAGAACGATCTTCTACACGTTGTGTTGATGTGTTCGACCGCAGCTGCAGTTGTTTTATAGATGACGGTATGAGACTCACACCCACCACAGTGCTCTAATCGAAGCACCACTATGGACGACGACTGCGAGAAAAAGGAACGAATGACAAATGTGCTGGGGTCTGCACAGCCCGCTAAGGTGGGTCCTCCATCCAAGTATAGTCCCGCGCAAGTCTTGTATAGGCCAAATATGCATCCAGTCATCTGAGCGGGGCTACGAATAGAGCCTGTGGTATGGCTCATTCCTAACGGAATAATTAATGTCGAGAGCTTCATCTTTTATTTCCCACGATTGCAGTCAATTGCATAAAATCGAACCCAGTCAACCAACGCGTAACTCAAATCGGCACCGTGCTTCTTGTGGTACCCGTCTAACGTGTCTGCTGTCCATTGGTTCCAGTTTGTTCGACGAACTCAAGTGTACCACGCTTCTTGTACCCGTGCTTTCATTTCTATTGCTTTTGGCGAAAACATCTAATTGCGAGATCGTTAGATCTGGTGTAGGAGACTGGATGTGCTCACGTATAGGTATGTTTGCAATGACAATTCTAAAACGCC